TTAAAGTTATGGCCTTCGTAACAGCCCCGTGATTATATGATCAAAATTCAAATGCTTGGCAACTGGTTCATATTTATGACGGTTGCGGTTGTCATGTAATCATCTTTTGCAACCTTCTGACAAGCAAACTCAGTGGGGAAGCCACATCCACTTAACAACCAGGTTATTGACATAAACTGCAGTGATTCACTTAACAACTGTGGCAAGAAGGGTCATAAAATGGGACAAAATTGGAACAAAATGTCTCTAAATTTGATCTTAAGTTGGGACTACCTGCATTTTACATAAACGCAGAAATGAAGTAGGGCAAAAGGGAAAAATTCTTTTGCATGCATTAGTCCATTTGCAAATTTCTGGATGCATATTTTATCACATGCACAAAATAACTTTTCCTCAAACATCATCTCTTACTAGCACTTTGGGAGAGTTAGATCCAGAAAACCATGAAGTTTACTTCCTTCTTAAATGTTGACTAGTCATAAAACAAAGATATTGAATTGAATTGTAATTGCAGCCACACTTATCAAAAACACATCTTACCAAACTCAAAGAAAGTATTTTTTTAGTTGTTGGATTTATATCTATAAATCCAACAACTGACAAGATTTATTACAGAATTAAGTTCAACAGTCTTACTTCTTTTTTTCTTCCTCATTCAATGAGTTCCACACTGCTTCCATTTTCAGCAGTAGTTTTTCTGAGTTTAATTTGGTAATTTCACTCAGCGACTCAGAAGAATAGTCTTGAACAAAAAGTTCGAATGCTGACATGGATTTCCTGATAACCTTATTGCTAATTAAGTCATAGGCGGTAATCTGACCCATTTTAGCCTTTATCACATTTGTTTTTTTAACAACTTGATTGTTACTTTCTTCTTGGAGTTTTGCTAAGCCACTCTTTTTCTTTTGAGTTCTTACTTCATCCATGTTTGGAATTAAAATCTGAACAGGTTCCAGATTTTCTGCCCTGGAATTTTTAAATGCATTCCCCAGACTCCATTTATCAGCAGTGATTTCAGATGAATCTGCAGTTTTTTTGGCTCCTTCTTTTTCTTCTTGAAAAGTGTAATTTCTTGAATCACTCTCCATGCTATTTTCACACTGAATATCTAGATTAACTATTTTCTTATTCTGTCCATCTTGACAAAGTACATTATTTGGTTGGCCATTCTGAAATTGATCGTGTTCAACTATTTCATTATCAGGTATTTCAATTTCAGTAGACATATCATGAGAATAATGATTATACATTCTTTGATTTCCAACTAATCTGTTTTCCTGTATATTTGCATTTTGTATGTCATTACTAAGTGAATATTGTGAAGTACTAGCAAGTGGATTTAGTCTTGTACAAGATTTGCTTATAACTTCTTGTTCGGTTTCATTAATATCTTTTGAGGTATTGTTGGTCGTATTCATTTCATTAGACACAGAGCTATTTAATGGTCCATATAATGATATCAAACTCTCTTCAATAGCAAGACAGATAGATTCCTAAAAAATAAAAGAAATAATTCAATAAAAATATATTTCTTATTGTTGCAGAACATTATATCAGGACACAAGAATTTTGCTCTTAAAATTCCAAGCAATATTAAAAGAACACAGTCAGAAAAAATTATTTTACTGCCTCATCATAGTAAAATCTCTAGTATCAAATTGCATATTATGAAAAAGAAAAAGACTTAAAGATTCTACCTTATTATGTACTAATACTTGAGATTTATCTGGTAGTAAATTGACATCCACAGCAGATGGAGGAATAGTAATGTTGAGAAAGAATATCGGGAACAAACGATTAAAATCCTTGTGTAATATGCTATAGTACTGTTGAACAAGCTAAAATATTCATAAAAAAGAATAAAATTACTCAATATTTTAAACTTTAAATTAAACACAATACCAAATTATTGCTAGAATCTAATGGATTACTTTTCATCAAAGAAACTGTGTAGAGAATATTTCTTTTCTCTATGGTAACTTTTCCTGTCTAAAACTGCTCCAGAGGATCTTACAAAGTGCTATAGCAAATCTTTGCTTCTATGACACTGGATTCCATATTATACTGTTTATTTATATCTTTAAGTATATATAGAAAGAATTATAATCACATAACTATGTTGAGGAAAGAAATAGCAGTTTTATTAGGTTACAACTACATAAAATTGATGCAACTTTGGAACTTTGTTGCTGATAAAGTGACATGCTACAAGAATGCAATACTATTTCACCTGGTATGTTCTAAATGCATGCTGATGCAGTATTTCCCCATGTTAAAAAGGCAAATTACTGCCCATTAATAATTACTGAGGAACAGGATTTTTTTTTAAAAAAAAATCAGAGTTAATATGGGAACTTTTAATATTATCTTAGGTTAAAGAGGAGGAGACCTAGGTAATTAATTTCAACAATTAAGAACTGTCATCTCTATCCCATGCTACAGTGGAATAAAATTCTAAAACTGAAGGGAATTTAGAAACAACTTGTGATATAGGTTTGCATTCTAAAGTACGAAGTTAAAACTTGAGTTCAAGTCTGCTAAAGCTACTATTTAATTTAAACAATGTTTTGCAAACTGTAGAAATATAATTGAAAAGGCAGTACCTTGAGAATTTCTTTTTGATACACTGGTCGGCTGTTTATAAAAATGTAACTTCTTTCTGAGTTCGAATGACCTGTCAAACCTCTATCTGAATCAGGCTTTGGAACAAAGCCATTGAAAGATATCTATAATGATAATGAATATATCACAAAATGATCATTAACTGAATCACATAGAACCTTTAACAAAAATCAAGTCATTTTGGTACATGTGATAAATTGGTAAATATTGGTATATAAATAAATAGGTAAATACAGTTTTTTCAATAATTTCCCATGTAATATTTTACTTTTCCATTATTACTTATAGAACACAGAATCAAATGGTTGGAAGGGACTTTGAAGAGACCTAATCCATCTATGCTAACTTTAGTTTATTTGATCTGTTATTTATCTAACATTAAATTTGTTTTGGCTCACTTCCTTTGTAGTTTCCTTTTTAAACAGCAGCGACAACAATATAAGTATTTTATTCACTATTAAGAATAAATACATACATATACTCATTATCCAATTCTGTTAAGGAACTTACAGGAAAGAAAGTTCTGGAATGGTTATCATAGCTGACAATATTTGAATGAACTAAAGATTAAGACTCTGAGAAGTTAAGAAAAAGTAATATAAATATGATTTATATATTGTTACTTCTGGCAAACCTTTAGGGACGTTCTCCTGACACCAGTACTGAAGAGGACGCTTTGTGGATTTGTTTATAGATAAGAGATGGGATATAGGAGGAAAAGTTTATTTGTAATATTAGAGGGGATGAAGAGTCACTAAATTTGTTATACTTGTAATGAAGTTTAGAAATCACTTTTGTATATATTTCTTTTCTAAATTGTATCTTACTTTTTTCCCTCCTCACTCTGTCTCTTTCATTCTTTTTTTTTTGCACCTTTTATTCTATTTTCTTCTCTTTTTAAAAGTTTAGCTTGTACTAGATTTTACTATTGTAAGCAAATTCTTAATAAAATTACATTTAAAAAAAAAAAAAGTACAAGGTTGAGTTGCTGATAAATAAGTCCATTGCAACTATAATCAATAACCCTGACATCAATATCTGGGAAGATCCTGGAAGAGATAATCAACAGATTATCAACAGAAGTGAGAACACATATATCCATCCCATCAAATCCAAAGAAAGTCCGGAATGGTATAGGATGGGCATGGGTCGTAGGCAAGAGGTTGGACTAGAAGACCTCCAAAATCCCTTTCAACTCTGTTATTCTACATTCTATGCAAATATAGAAGTAAAATAATTTAAAAAGTAAAAGGCTGATTTACTGAGAAATAAACCCACTGCAACTTCAATTATCTCTAGGGGATGGGGGACGATGATAATTAGAAAGCATTCCTTCAGATGACTCAGATTCAAGCAATTTAAGAACTTAAAAATAATATAGCACAGCAGTGACACAGAGAAAAAATAAAGACAGTTTGATCTTTGGGATTATTCTGCTACCCTGTTTTCCCCAAAATAAGACCTCTCCAGATAATAAACCCTGACTGAAAATATTGCAACACAGCAGCAGCCATGAGGTGACCACAGTCCTGCACCTCAAAAATAATAAGACCACCCCGCTTAATTCAGCAGTTAAAGAAAATAAGACCCGGTCTTATTTTCAGGGAAACATGGCACATTCTCTGGGGGATTTTTGTATTAGTATTATTGAAATATGGATGTTTTAATGTTTATGTTATTGTCAAACCATTACTCAAAGACAACTCAAATGACAACAAATGTTTAATATTAAATTGAAATAATACTGGGAATAAGTAATTTATGTAAAGGCTTAGAAACTTAACTCCAGATCTTCACGGTGCTGCTGAAAAGGTACCATGTTCTTCATAATAGCAGGTCCGACTACTTCCATGAAAGCCATTTTATGATCTAGTACCCTGTTCTTCTGCCATATGGTTGTCTGAAAGCCAAATTTATAACATTAAATTGAATGAATATACATGTGTGTGTGTGTGTGTGTGTGTGTGTGTATTTGTTTTCATAGATTTTCACAGGTGTAGGTATGCTGGTCTTCTTGTATTTGGATCTTTTCCCATGTAAGATTGAGATTGTCTTGGCAACGTTTCGGCCTCACTCGCCATCTTCAGGCTGGTGTTTTCGACTCACACAAATATGAAGCCAAAAACACCAGCCTGAAGATGGGGAGTGAGACCTCATTGAAACATTGCCAAGACAATCTCAATCTTACATGGGAAAAGACCCGAATACAACAAGACCAGCGTGTGTGTGTGTGTACAAGATCTACTCACAAATATGGAATGGCACACTTGTCCTGGGTTTTTAACATTCTGTTCCTAAACACATGTACTTTCTTTTGAGTACAACATATGCTGTTGGTCCTTTGGTTTATATTGTGTAGCAACTGGGCTGTCTGTCTAGGGTTCCTTACCTATTTTGTTATCTAGTGACAGATTTTTAACAACTGGGACATCTACAAATACGCAATTGTATAACCCTTAAAAACATCTACAATGATATTGGCTTTTTGATTCACAAATACCATAAGTATGACTTGAGGAAGAAGTTAGTCAATACATTTATTACTTCAATACATTCATTACAAAACAGTAATTTTACAATTGGAAACCCAACAGTTGAATGTTAGTAATGCACACAGGGCAAAATATATGCAGAGAGAAATCTCACCTAATTCTAGTACTTGAATTAGTATAGAACCCTAGTCATTTTCAAACTGAGATAAATTTTAGTATAACAGTCCAGCAAAAAAAAAAATTATACCAAATTATACCTTATTAATAAATTCATATGTTCAGTTCATATTAAACCAGGTTTACAATGCATAAAATAGACACGGTTTACTCTATTTGTTTAAAGCATGGCATTCAAGTTACAATAGGCAAAAAAATCATTGTTCAGATTTATTGTAAATATATTTTATTATTTTTATAAAAGTATTTTAAAAAAAGTAAAATAATAAAACATTCAAAATTAGCAGAAGCATATACACTGCTTTCAATTTTACTTCACTTCATGCATTTATTGTAATCATTATATGGAAATAAAGAAAAAGAAAGTGGTATTTGGCAATTTTTGTACAAATCTGAATGAAATTTACATAAGATAGTTAACCAAGTTAAGTAATTGCTGCGTAGGTTATTGGCAACTCATGAATTCACTGGTAATAATTCATTAACAGTAAATAATTATCATATACAGAAGAAACATTTACTTTTTTTTCATGCTCAGAAATTCCCAATTCTAACACCTTTGAAATAGTACAGCATGAATAGTAAATACATACAAATCCAATATAAATCCAATATATCTACTTTCCAATCTATAGGGACTATTGAATCTGTCTATGACTGAAGTTAAACTAGCACGCAGATCATTATCAAGAAAGAAAGCTACAGAAAATCATGGAAAATTGATAGAAATATGGCAAGCAATAGAAAACATTTCAGTAAAAGATCTAACCAAGCTATGCTAACAAATCTGGAGAATGACAGAGTCTCCAAGGGAGTGGAAGAAGTAAATCAATATTCCAATACAGAAAAGAGAGACTTAGAAGACAGAGTGAGCAAACTAATATACAAGTGTCATAATTTCACACACAAAGGCTTCAAATCATCGAATTAGAGCCTTACATGGAAAAGGGGACGGCATATGTTCAAAATGACTTTAAAAAGAGCAAGGAAGAAAAGACATAATTATCAAAGCATGCTGCACAACTGAGAAAGTCAAAGAATACAAAAATATGTCAATGTGTGCTTCATATCGAAAAGCCTTTGATTATGTTGATATCAAAAAGTCTTTGATTATGTTGATCATGTCATACTATGGAACGTCCTTAGAAAAAATGAGAAAGCCGGAGCATCTCAGTGTTGTCCTTTGAAACCTATACATAAATCAAAAAAGCCACAATAGAGCAGAACCCAGAAAAACAGACTGGATTCAGGTCAGAAAGGATTAAGAATCTCTTCTCTTATTCAATCTATATGCAGAATACATACTGGGGGAATTTGGATTAAAAGAAGATGAATATGGTTTTTGGAGGAAAAAATAACCATATCAAATATCAATAACCAATGCTATGCTGATGACACTATTGTAATAGTTGAAAATGCAAATGATTTGCAAGCTTTAGTAATGAAAGTTAAGGAATACAGTGAAAAAATGGATTAACATTAAATATAAAGAACACAACAGGCCCATAAACCAGTCTTAGAATTGACAGAAGTTGTAGTATCTGGATTCTTCCTTTTAGGATTAAATATTAACAGAAAGGAACCAGCACTTAAGAAATACTCTGCAGATTAACACTTGATGGAATAGCCATTAAGGCCTTGGAAAAGACATTCAAATGCCGAGATCAGGATCATGAAAGCAATGGTTTTCCCATGACATTATGGATGTGCAAGTTTGACTCCGAAGAAGAGGATAGAAATCATTTAGATGCTGGGAATGTTTCTTGAGAATACTATGGATAATCAAAACTCTCAAGTGGATCGTCAAATAAATCAATTCCAAATTCTCATTCAAGCCTCAAATTAGCACACTTTGGACACATTATGCGAAGAGAATTTTTTTGAAGAAACCTACAGTGATGGAAGTGATAGGAAACTGAATCAGAAGAGGATAATCACCAGCAAGGTAGATAGACTTCATTACAGCATCAATGGGTGCAACTATGGAAAATCTGAAGAATCAGATTGGAGAAAATCTATGTAGTTAAGAGCTGACATCAACTTTAGAACAATGAATGAATAAATGGATGGGTTTCAGAATCTCTGGATTTTCCTTCTATACCAGAGAACACCTACTAAATCAAACTGAATAGCAGTAAGATTCCTGAATATGCAAAATCTCTTACATATAATGTGATCAATGCATCTTTAATTAATTAAGGATAGACGATCGAGACACTTTAAAATTAAGATGTAATATAATTATGGCAGAAAGAAAATAATAAAGTCCTGCAATCTTGTAACAATGGAAACAATTGTTTGGGATAAAAATAATCCTGGATTAAAAATCTTAATAATTAAACATTTCATTAAATTTAGTTTAATCATCTAGACTGCATGTAAATTAGGATGCATGTGATGCAATTCACAATGAGGAAAGGCAAGCAGGCCAACTGTGGAGCATGGCAACCTGCTAAATACAAAACAAATGCAGTTAATGTCCTAGGCATTTATATTTACTTTTTAATCCTAGATTGGTACCATTTCCAATTAAGATTCATAGTCTTATTGAATTTTTTAATAAAGTACTTCAGTTTTTGATAAAGTACTACAGTACATTTATGATCTTTCATTCTATCTCACAACAGGTTTCCTGAACTGTTTGATTTATAGCCTTGATTATACTCTGAAGATTATGCTATAAATACATTGTCACACACCCCCGTATTTTCTAGGTCATATAAATCTGGGGATATGATGAGCCAAGAATGAATCTGACTCTATGATGACACTGCAAAAGTACGCTATCAAAATATACTATTACATACAGTCCATCTTAGGTTTAGTGAAAGCTAGCCAAATATATCTTCCCTTCTCTCCGTTTCATTGAAGATTATAAGAACTGACAGTTTACAAAGTGGACCAGAACAGTCACTGGTATTAAGAATCGGGGGCATCTTCCCCAGGTAGAACCCATCCTCTGGCTCTTATTTAAATGTCCCCTGTCCATCACCACTTAGATGTAATAACCCACCCCAATCCTCCAGATATTTCATTACTCCTTAACAATGGCCTCATGCTTCCTTTACTTGAGCCGAGGTGGCGCAGTGGTTAAATGCAGCACTGCAGGCTACTTCAGCTGACTGCAGTTCTGCAGTTCGGCTGTTCATATCTCACCGGCTCAGGGTTGACTCAGCCTTCCATCCTTCCGAGGTGGGTAAAATGAGGACCCGGATTGTTGTTGGGGGCAATATGCTGACTCTGTAAACCGCTTAGAGAGGGCTGAAAGCCCTATGAAGCGGTATATAAGTCTAACTGCTATTGCTATTGTGTGTGTCCTGCATCCCAAACACAAAACCCAGAGTCAACATGTGGGTAGGGGGTAGTAGCAGGACATGCAGTGCTTCAGTGCTCGCTTTCAACACAAATGGGCCCCCAACCATATTAAAATGAAATTTAATTAAGATTATGACAGGCCACCCACTTTTATTATTGGAATATAGAGCCTAGTTCATCAAATGTTCAGTATATTCCTTGACCCTCTAAAACGTAAGTATTTCAGAAAAGAAGCTATTTTCTGCATTCATTTTGTTTCAAAGGCGGCCCAGTGAATACTTCAATAGATAATCCAATAGGTATTAACAACATATGTGTATCATGCTAAAATATAAATCCTAATTTAGTTCATCAGAATTGACAGCTGGTTTATGAAACTAGTTTGTTGGGGGAGACTACTAATCATAGTTCCTAGCTTGGATGAAACAGAAAGGATGCCTAAGCATCCTGGTTTTCCTCACCGTTGACACAAAAATGGATCATATTTAATGGGTATATTCATATTGTACAATTCTGATTCCCTGAACAGGTTCTTAATTTTTTTTCCTTGGCACTAAGTAGAACATAGCCATTAAGGTTTTAATCCTAACCCAACTCAACTTGTAATGTACTTCAGGGTCAAAATATCTCACATTTTTTTTAATGTAAGATAGATTGCTTAAGAGGCCAGATCTAATCCACAGACTGCCAGGTGGACATACCTGTTTAAAAGTACTAATTTTAGAAACTTCTGTTAAAAATTTGAAAACAGATGGGACCATGTGCACCACTGAAAGCTAATGCCTAATGAAAAATAATACTATCATCAGGAGTTGTTTGGATCCATAGAAGCACTGCAAAGTACTTGTAAATTCCTAAGATGAATTCAGTGTCCTCAATTAACAAGCCACATTTTTTTTAAAAAAAGTTGCT